ATGCCTGCTGTTGAATTAATCCATCTAGAAAGATGTGGAACTTGGATTTAGTTTCCTACAATGTTTTTCTAGGATGGTCTGGTCATGATGTGGCCAATGAGGAATTTTTATGTCTTATTCTAGTTCTGATACCTTTTAAAATTGTTATGGACAGGAGTCTAAGTATCTTTATTACCTCCTATCCCAGATTCAGGTCAGTCAGTGCTGCTTTGCAGAGCTTTCCCTGCTGCACTTGCTTTCCAGATACGTACAAGTGGAAGAGCTGTGGGGGACTTGGACAGAAATACTGTTTGAAGAGGCAGCACCAAAATAATTAAACTAAAGTCTTCATAAAAAATAAGCCTTGGAGGAGAGAACTGAGATCAGCTAATAGTGTAACAAACTTCCTGCCCTTCATCTTTCCCACCCATTCCCTGCAGCAGACTCCAGGATCCAAACAAGCCTGTAGGCACACAGCAAACGTGAGACTTGCACTTAGGGGCTGCTCCACTGTGTTCCTGTTTTAGGGGTGGCTATTTTGCACTATCAGCTTCTGCTCAGCTAGTAATTATCCTGGCACTATCTTCCTTTCTTTTTTCTTGTTTGCTCTTCTGCTTTGAAGGAAAGTTCCACTGAAATGTCAGCTACTCTGTGGGGGGAAGGTTTGAGTAGCATGTATGTACCTCTCCTTATTGATCTGCTGTGAAGTGATTTTGTTTTGAGTACAAGACTCCATTAAACACATTTATTGTCATAATCTAGTATTCCATCCAGAGAGGCAAAATCAAGAAAGCTAACAGATATCCTCAAAGCTGCTTAGTAAAACCAGGTCCTATCTGTACATGTGAGACTTCATAGCATCTGTTTGGTAGACAAAATGGGGCAAATATATTTAACTGGTCTGCTGAATGGTTTCTTAAAATGCTTCCTTGGGTCAGTTTCTTAGTGCAACATAGCTGAGAAACAGGGCTGAGTACACACATCCATCTCAGAGTTCAGAAACTCTTCTGTATTTTTCCCCTGCAGCTGTTGAAGAACTGGACCCCATTGTTTAAGAACTACATAAAACGGGCGTCAGACCACTTGAATGCCTTATTTGCCATTGAGGAATTCTTCCTGGAACATGACAGTCTCTGCACATCAATAGCTAAAGTGAGTATCTGCTCCCAACTCTGAGGACCTACTTTTGGTAGATTAATGGTGAAATACATCCTATTTGCATCATTGGCTTGTCTGCTTTAGGGGAGAGAATTTGGGGGTCTCAGTGGAGAGAGTGTATAGAAAATCCATCTATAACAATTGCTTTTTTTGAAAAAAAAAAAGTTCTATGTCTGCCTGTGCCTCTGAGGCAGCACAGCTGAGGGTGAGTATTAATTACCAGCATGCAGCCTGAAGGGAGCTATTATTTTCCAGCTTCTAACCTAGATGCCCTTGTTGTGTGACATTGGAAGAGGTGAGACCAGAGGCTTGCTTTAGGAAGAGCTTTACTTCATTTGTCTCTCCGTGGTCCCTGGGATCTAACTGCTGAATGGTTTATCCTACTTTAGAGTGCAAAACAAGCAAAGCTGGGAATAAGAGTGGGATTTCTTATTCAGGCTGAGCTAGTTAAAAAACTGGGAATAAAAGGGAGCTGACATATGACTTATTACCTATCTCCCGGCTTCTGAGAGTTCTCAGTGTATTCCTCCTCACTCTCCTTCACAAACATTTTGTCCCTGTGTTCTTTCTGCCCTATCACACTTGAGAGCATTTGACTTGGATCATAAGTCTTTCCTTTAGCAGTGTTTCAGGAAGCCCTTATGTCTTTTGGAAGAGCTCTCCTAGAGCCTACTTAATTCTTGGTTCCTCAAGAAAGAGTACTCCTAACTTCTGCTACCAGTGCTTCTGGCTAATGGCAAAGCACTTAGGGCTGGAGCCAAAAGCCTTCAGTTTGGTGAGCCAAAATGTCCTTGAATTACAGCAATTGTTTGGCATGTGTCCATTGTTCCAGGGTCCTGGGTTTCCCTGGAGGCTGGGAATTGAAGTGACCCTTTATATTTGGAGTTGGCAGCCAGCTTTGTCGGTGCTCTGCCGCAAAGAGACCTACTGCAAAGTGCCTGCTCTGCCTGAGCACAAAGGCACCCTGAGAAAGTGTGATTGCATCTTACCCTCGCTGCGCTGTGCTAGGCAGGAGTTTAAGCTGATGAATGACCAATGGCTTTGACACCCGCCATAAGGCACTTTTAAGAGAGAACTGGAAGGAGGAGGGAGCCTGAGGCAGAGGTAGATAGATTCATGCTCTTCTCTGCACGTCACCGTTGTGCACATGTGGGCCTGCACAAGAGTTGCTTGTTAGATCTGCTTTGAGGATGGGTTTTTGGATGCTTTGAAAAGAGAACTTCAGTAACATCGTGAACTGACATCCTCTGTGGCACTTTGTTGTCCACAGCTCTCAATCATACCCTGCATCCACAGAGCTGAAGCTGATGGGGCTTGAACTTTGGCTCATTACGTGTCATAGCATCTAACTGTCAGGAACATAAGGCTTGGTAGGAGGAGCACAGTTATTTTTAACAATAAAAGCAAAATGAAGCAGACTGAGTGCCTTCTGTTGAAGATGGAGCTGGGAGACACAGATTATGTGCAAACTTTGTACTTGGACATGAGCTGGCCCCAAAAGAGCTTATAGAGAGCCGTGTTGCTCTTTTCTGATTGATGCAGGTGTTGATGACATTTTACCAGCTGGAAATTCTGGAAGAAGATGTAATTCTCAATTGGTTCTCTTTGCGGGACACATCTGACAAGGGAAAGCAGCTTCGTAAAAACCAGCGGGTAAGTTCCAGAGGTGTTTAAAGGCAGGGTGGGGCGAGGGGGGAGAGAGAGACAACAGCTGCTAAAAGAAACTTTGAGCGGAGTTCAGTGCCACTGTCGTCTTCTGTGGAGCAGCTGCCATTACGTGGTAGGCCAGTAATGCACCAGTGCATTGAACACTAAGCATCACAACTTTGTTCTCCAGAACAGATGTTTCTATGTGTTCTGCCATAATCATCCTGTTTGGATAAGGAATGGAGGTAGTAGGAGAGGGAGATTTTGGTGGGTTCTCTGTAGCACGAAGCCAGCACTTTTTGGAGTAGCAGCATGGCTTCTCTAAGCCAACACCCATTTGAAATGGGCTTTAGGCCAATGCCCTGTGTGCTGGCCCCATGCAATTCCTTTGAAGCTTTCATTCCTGGCTCACCAGTCCCTTCGCATATATTTCTAAGCATTTGCTGTACTGAATGGTTTCATTTGGCTTGTGTTGCAAGGAGTGTATAAACTTCCCCCCTCCATCAGGCAGAACTTTGAGCTGCAGTTTGGCTGAGCCCTGCTCCAGTCCTCCTCCCTGGATCTGGAAGAGGAGCAGGGGAAAAATGCCATCTCTGAAGAACTCCCAAGCTTGTTTAAAACCTTTGCAAAGTCAGCTGTTAGTATAGGTCAGCAGTGCCTTCAGCTGTTTATTCGAGCCTAGTTAAAAGTTAAAATGAGCTGCCTTCTTTATAGCAATTTCTCAGGGAGTAGATTTTTCCCAGCAGAGTTTTCTTAATGTCTCTTAGCTAAGGTGCAGCTGTCATCTCTTCTTCCTCAAACTCTGAAAAACTCTAAAACTTTTGTCTTTTTGCTGAGTGTTGTGGGGATTGTCTGGCTGGAAGGAATCTCCCTCAGGAATCTAATCAGTCTAGGTTTGTCCATGGCATCCCAGTTGTTTGTCATCTAAACTTTTGTCTGCCTCTGTTTCCATGTCTCCTAGAAACAGTCTCTCTCTCTCTTTATTGTACATGATAGTGTTGCTCACTGTCACAGTGCAGTTGTTGAGCATTCCTAGCATCTGTGGTGTCACTTGTTACCCAATTACATTTCATTCTCTCTCCAGCTCCAGAAGTTTATCCAGTGGCTGGAGGAGGCAGAGGAAGAGTCCTCTGATGGCGACCAAGACTGACACGGTGGCTCGGCATGAGAAGAGGCACCTCTCGCTGCCTTTCAGGGCCAAGTGGGCAGGGCAAGATCAATGCCAGTGCATGGTGTGTAGATGTGGGGCCTGACATCGAAGTGACTGACAATCCCATCATTAATTAAGTTGTGTGTTCCCAACTTTGCCACTTCCCTCCCTCCCTCACTTGCCTAGTGGCACCTTATGTTGGATGGTTGCAACCCAGTGTAAAAACCATAAGGGAAAGCCAGGAGATGGTGATACCTAGAATCCCTCTGGAGCCTGGATACAATGTACTATAAGCTATCTTTTGGGAGGTCCTTGTTACTAATACAAAGGGAGCAAATAGATGCAAATGCATACGACACCCTTCTAAATCTAACCGTTGGGGTTGTGCAAGAATGGTCATACGGCTAAGTTATTTGGAGTCATTGTTGCTTCTGGAGCGAAGAGAACTCCTGCTGAAGAGACACTGGCAAGGTTGGTGAGTAGGAGCACGTGGATTAGGATCTGCAGTGCAGGACTGGGATTCTAGGAGTTCCTGTGCCTGGAGAAGATGAGTTGTCTGAGGATGCCCAAGGCATTTTGCAGCCTAGAAGGCACTTCTGTGATCTTTCCAAAAGGGAAAATCTCTTGCCATCTGCCATGCTAGGATCTAACACAAGGTTGCACAGTAGAGTTGGTAAAACCATGTTTCCCCCTTCGGTAGAACAGGGGATAATACATGCTCAGTTCCGCCTGCAGGGGTTGGCTAATAGTGAATATGCACTGGCCAGTGAAATGCTGTATGGATCACTACATCTTAGATGTGATCTGTCTTCTGTGCGTCCCCAGCTTAGCAGACATGTTTTAGAAAAGCGTTGATTTCTTTTTTTTTTTTATAAGAAGGGAGCAGAGGTGCCTGGCTCATCCTGCTGCGCCAGCTACACTTGTGTTTTGCTCTGGGGGCACTGACTGCACCAGCTGCTTTGTGGAGGATGCAAGTTCCTAAGTTCTGCTCCAGTGTGAAAAGGAGCGAATGGTATTTCCTTCAACAGCATGTGCTTTGTGTTTCCACATGATTTCAGTTACACAAGCTTGCTTACTTCATGTGCTTTTATTTATTTGAAAACTTCCTTTCCCTCAGACAGCAGGGAAAGTACTGCAAACCCACTGTAAAATTCAGCAGCTGCAGAGCAACTCGGCATGCAGCAGGGAACAAGTGTGCCTCTGGCACTTTGTTACCAACACTATGTGTGGCAGCGATAAAGCCTTTAAGAAAGCTCTCTCGGAAGTGTTGCTGTGCTGGATTCTTCTCTGCTCTCAAAGAACAGAGGAAAAAAAAAAAGGCACAGCAAGAATCAGCTTGTGTTCCTAGGTGCGTTATTTGTTGGATGTGCTGACCTTGCCTCTGCCCCTTCAGAAGGAGCCTGAAATAAATCCTTTGCGGGGGGAAATGCACTGGAGCTGCCCACTCAGGATATTTACTTGGCCGTTCCGTGGTGCCACAATTGTCAGTGAGGGGACAGCGTTGGATGCTGGAGACCAGGGATACTGCCTCTTAAAAACTGGTGTTCAGGCAGGGCGATCTTGTGCACTCATACTATCAGTTGCCAGGATTGTGCATAAATGTGCTTGTTTTCTGACATTGCAAACTCAGTCTTGTAAATGTTGGGGAAATAGTTGGTATCTGAATTTTCTGTATCTGCCAATATTTAATTCAGGGAGCAAATAAAAACTATCCTGGTGTTACTGGCTTGTTTGTTTTGTTTGACTTTGAATTGTATGTCTCCAGTTGTGGCACACACCTGAGCAGGGCTTAATAGGTAATGTAAATAACTTATCGCTACTTTTTCCTCAAGATTTTAAGCATGGAATAGTCAGGTAGGAAATCAGCACACCATTGAATTGGTTTAAATGTTCAGTGATAGCTCATGACCTCGCTGTTTACAAGTAGAGAACAGTTTATTAAAACTTCTGAACTTAGAATCATGAAATGGGGGAGGTTTGGTTTTGTACAGGATTGTGTTGCCAAGACGACACTTAAATACCATGAAACCTGTGATCCTTTGCCGTGATGAGAATTAGTGGGAATGTTGGCTGTTAGGTACTGCATCATGCCCTCTGCATGTTGCAGAGTAAGAACTGGCGGAGAGGGGGAAGGACAGCTACAGAGCTCTTGGTAAAAGCATTTACAAACCTGCTGCAAGACTTGGTAATTTTAAAATCTCCTTGGACATCTCAAGTATTTTTTTCCTTTTACAATGTAAAGATGGCTTAAAAAATAGGATTAATGTGTAGTTCTGTGCTTTTGCCAGAGGCTCTTGATTCTTTGTGCCAGGTAACAATTCCACTTTTGTTTTTCCCACATTCCTTCCTCCTTCACTCCATAGTAGCCGACTTCATGGTGTGAGCTGCTTTCACACCCAGGGGTTAAGATCCAAGGGGACAATGTTGCCCTGTGGCCAAATATCCTTCAGGCCGCGGTGATGTGTGGGGTTGGGGTGGTTTTACAGGTGCTGAGAATGGAGTAGCAAAAAGGACACTTGATATTCTCCAAGGTGGAGTTCTGGCATGGTGCAGCATCCTTATAGGCAGGTGTGTACTTTTTAAAGGAGCATTAATTGCATTGCTTAAGTATAGGATGGGCTTGATGCTTGCTATTGCTTTCAATCAAGATTTATATTTGGTTGGAAGACTATAAATACCTTTGAGAGCAACCTTGATTGCACAATCGCTGCTATCCATCTTTTTGAGCAATGTAAGCGGCAAGTATTTTTATTTTTTTCTAAGGCCATAGTAGTCTACTTGTCTGACTTCCCATCTGACATGGCTGGATGGATGAATGTCACCTGGTGTTCCTGTATCAAACCCGTAACTTCAGTTAACAATAGCATACCGTTTAGAAAAAGGTAATAGTTTTGTGTGAGTGATGGAACTCAAGTACATCCGCCTCTGCTTTGGGCTGTTCCGAGATGTGCTAAAATGTCTGGTGCCCATTTACTCTGTAAGGAGAAGCAATGCTATTAATACTGCAATTTTTAACTGTAGACGTAAGCCAACAGGCTCTTCGGAAACTCTTCCCTGTGGACCTAGAGTGTTCGGCACAATCTCCTACTGCTGATTTCTTTGGCTCTGTGTTCTCTATTCATTAAGAGTGAGTCATATTTCACAAGACCTCTTGCGAGCAACTAAGTCAATCTATCGATTGAGTCTATTCAATCACTTGGCCTGTTTTAAAAGAAAAGGCAGCTGTAATACTGCAATTTCATCTCCTGCCACCCTTGGGGGGGTGTGGCACCCCTCTTCTGGGCTGCATGTGCTCCCTTGGGAGCTCAGCACCGCAGAAAATTGCCCTTTTGGTAACCAAGGTGTCTTAAGGCTGCCCAGGGAGGTGGTGGAGTCACCATCCCTGAAGGTGTTTAAGACTGGACGTGGCACTTAGTGCCATGGTCTAGTTGACATGGTGGTGTTAGGGCAAAGGTTGGACTCGATGACCCCAGAGGTCTCTTCCAACCAAATCAATTCTGTGATTCTGTAACACATACGATATGGGCTGCAAGCTGCATCTACAGCTGCTGGGAGGTAGGCAAGAGAGTGGCCCTGTCAGGGGAAGACTGTAATTCTTGCACGACTCAGCTTTTGGGGCAGGGAGGTGTTGCAAAAAGACTAAGATTAGCTCTGTCAGGGTTGACACAATAAGAAGCAGCTTAAACTAAATTTTTCCATTCCTGACCTGGATTCTTCTGTCCAGGTGCGCCAGCTTTTACCACAGAGTTCCAGGCATGAGGAAGTGACAATCTTCCAAGAGCCGGTGTGGAAACAAGGGAGAGCCTCATGCCTCTTACAACTTCTGCTTACCTGAGGTCTTCCCTTGATTTATTTTATTTATTTATTTATTTATTTTTTAAATTTAATGTCAGATTCTTCACCTAGTCTAGCAGTGCTGCCCAGATAATTGCTAGCAACGCCTACAGGTCTCTCTCATACGTGAGGCGGCTATTTAGCTCATGCCTGCCCGCCAGCCTGAGGAGCTTGGCTCTGTTCCCTATAAGATCTCTCTGGCTTCTCTTCCTACGGCGGGTGAGCCTGGCGCTGAGGGCTGGCGATCCAGTCTCACGCCCCGCGCAGGCCCACAGTGCGGTTCTTCGTCTCCGTTTGTTCCTTCTAACCCAGGATGGTGCGAGGCGGTTCTTGCCCTTCCTGGTGGTGGGTGTTCCCCAAACTCCGTCCACCCCAGCTTTGCTCTCAGCCACAGCTCCAGGAAACTGCTGATGGAGACGGTTCCTTGGCACCCCTTGGGTGCTGCTGAGGTGTCCAGAGGGGAAGCCGGCCAGCCCGAGACTGCTACAGCACAGAGGCAAGTCCTGGGGGCTGGGGTCACGGTGCTGGGGTCACGGTGCTGACGACTGTAGGCAAGAGAGTGATAGGGTCTGGGGAGAGAGAGATGGGGAAGAAACCACAGAGCCACGGGGCTGTTGGAGCTGGTAAGGGCGCAGTTGAAGAGGCCACGGTGTGTGGAAAGGAGGATGCTTATGAGGAGCAAAGGAGGGAGTCTGCTTGGTGAGGAAATGAGGCTGGAGAACTTGCTGGGATACTGTGGTGTCCAGTGCCTGAGTATCAGGGATGGTTGCTGAATGGTGACAAGGGGTTTGGAGGGAACCCACAGCTGGAGAGGAACTGGGGTGGGAGGTGCTCTGCTCCTCTTGTGCAGCAGAGTCCCTGCGTGGGGTGGCCATTGGTGACAGAGTAAGGGGAGTTCAAGGGGGTCCGGACATGAGAGGACAGGGTAGAGCAGGATATGCCTTGTGTTCTGTAAGCTGAACATGTGGTTGTATGAGGAGCGTGGGGAAGGCTGGGAGGTGTGTGGAAAAGGACCAGGGCTGCAGAGATGGAAGGGGAGGCCTGGGGTGTGTACACCAGAGGCAGTGGAGGTTGTAGGATGCAGGAGCACATGTGGCACAGGAATGACCGCGTGTGTGAAGCAGCATCAGTGGGTGTAAGAGGGGATGAAAGCAGAATGGGAGTGGGGAGCCTGGGAGAGTATATGGGTGCGTGCCAGCTAGGACTGGGAATGGGGGTGCAGGGCGAGTACTAGGCTGTATATAAGGGGATGTGGATGTAAAGTTAAAAATCCAAACCCATCCGCAGGCAGTAGGGCTGTGCGTGGCCAGGGAGGCGATGAGGGGTGCAGTCCCAGGGGGGCATGCAGCCAGACGGGGTGCAGCAGGAGCCGCGGTGGATGTATGGCCCTGGGAAGAGGGGTGGATGGGTGCGAGTGGGGGTCAGGGGCTGATCGCGGTCAGTTCCAGCCGGG